ACCATCGACAGCAACGACTGCATCAGTGTCAGAGGTGAGCGTTGCGTGCACTCTCTCTCTCTCGCTTTCGTTGCAGCACTCTCTCTCTCTCTCTCTCTCTCTCTCTCTCTCTCTTTGGACATGCATGCACAAAGTGAAGGTACCTGCAGTGAATTTCTTTCAGGTCAGCCGTAGCAGTTGCAACATGTCGAGAAGCGACTCAGATCCAGATTCCATGCTCGTCTCTTTATCGGATGAGGAGCAAGTTTCTCTCGACAGCATCCTCCATACACTGCCATACACCGGAGGAAATTGACAGTCCAAGGACACAGGATAACGATGAAAAAGACCAAGGTGGGCTGTTGTCAAGTGACAGCCATGATCGGAGTTCTGTTCTGACAAATATTCCGATGAGTTCTACCAGGGTCCTTCAGTCATCCAGCTCGTCTAATGAGTCAGAGACCGCAGTCGTCCAGGAACCAGTGCCGCCTGTTGCGAGGAAACGCCGATTCGCCAGATTGGGAGAGAACTTGGATGCTTCCAAGAAATTCCGTCTTATAGTTAAGTCTTGCCGCAAAAAGTGTTTCTTCGTCGATTGCATGCTACCAAGGACCTAAACGACGATTTCTACATTCCGAATAGAGCCCAACTCATTCTTGACTTTCTCAGGAAACACGGTGATAGATTGGTCAAGGAAAGAAATGGTCCGAGGCAGTCCTTCCCCAGCACATTGGCATTGGTGCAGCATGTCATGGATTCTTCCAAGATGAGGTCCCAGGACTGAGTGCATTTTTCCCCCTGAACGGGGGATGTGTGTGTGAGAGCCCTGATCGTCGCTAAGGGTTTGTGGAAACTGTACAGACGCAGGGGGATGCCACACACCTGAAGAGTGGGCATCTAACAAAAAGGATCTTCAGAGTGTGCTGATATGGTTCCGGGACGCTGGAACCACGTACCTGCAATGTACAGAGTGCAGCCGATGTCGAGAGGAGTTCATGTTCATCAACCTTTCAGGTGCTAAAGTATTTCTCTCAACCCCGTCTGTGTGGCTGAAGCCGTTATACCAATTGGACGAAGGGCCATTTCTCCGTGTGTGCGTGTGTCCGAGTGTGCCTGCAGAGGGTCACGGTCAAAACCATTGGAAGCGCAAACACTTTTACATTAACTATAAGCTCATCTGGGGGGAGCGAGGTTATACGCTATATCTTGTACCAAACCCTCACGCAATTTTGTTCACATTGTCAACTCCACTTGCAGCGCATACATATGCCTGCATTGGCTCAAGTGCTGTGGGCTCAAGACTCATTGACATTGATGCACCGACTGGAAAAGTCAGGACCGAGTGTTCGCATTCTGAAGCTGATAAGGATCTTGCTTGACTTCATCGTTGTTGTGATTGTTGAGCGCATTCCCGACAAGCTTGAAATCGTCCGTTGAATTTTTCATTCAACCCTTCAACCTTCAGCCCCCCCCGCCCCCCCCGCCCCGACGGGGGGGGCTTCTCAAGCCCCGCGAGGCCAACTCAGCTCCTTTTGCATAGCTTAAACAAAGTGCTTTGGCCAGGATGCTGGACTACTAGCTTTAGCTTTGCAAGGAGTGCCACCAGTGTCCGTCTCTTGGCAAAGCCCTCCGGTAGCCAAAGCTAGCCCAACGCTTAGTAGGCAGGTTTCAGTGCTGGCAAAAAGTGCCTCGAAGGCGGGGGCCCTCAGAGTCCATCAGGCTCTTTTTCTAGCCACAGGCTCAAATGTAGGTAGTGCCCAGAAATTTTCAGCTTGCCTTTGGGCCGTGTCTTTTAGTAGTGTAGTTCTTTAAATTTTGCTTGCAATCTCTGCCAATTGGTTCAAACAGCTGCGTGTTGCGCCTTGCTTCTCCCTTCGAGTATGGGCTTCTTTAGTCCAGTGCAACAGGCTCGGCACAGCCCATGCACATGTGTCGTTCTGCACTGACTTCTTCTTCTCGCTTTGGGCTTGGTGCTTTCTTGTCTGCTTCCTCTTGCTGCTGCATTGCCTCGCTCAGGTACTTCTTTGGCACCGACCACAGCAAGGCCTTGGCAATGCTGGCACCTCGTCTCGGCCTGCTGCACTGCTTGTGTTTGCTGTTTTCAATGCATAGATAGGCGCACCGGTCAGCTTTTCAAGGCTCTAGCTTTTTTAGCTTGTTGTGTCTGCCCAGCCCCGCACAGCAATGAGAAAACGCTGGGCCGAACAAGCCGCGGCTCGTTCGTCGCATGGGAGGGAGTCGCACGTGGCATCGCCCTAAACACCGAGATCACCTAGCACCGCATCGCAACCCGATGTGGTAGATCTGGTTGAAGATAACTCGTTGCACCGCTTTTTTAGGAGAGCACTGCCTGGTCACATGGACCCCCAGATTCCCGCATCGGCTCCATCATCGCTTGGGGCTTCAGCAAAGCCATCGCGCTTCAACATAAAATTAAACTCGCACGGCCCGCTGCGACGGTAAAGGACTTAGCCAAGCCCCCACTTTGGGTACCACACAGCCCAGAAAACACATTGCATACCCCAAAGCCGATTGGGGCTCCCCTTTGCCCCCCCTCCTGACACGAAACGCTCGCGCACAGCATGGGAACCTTCACCACAAGGAGGGTTGGAAATCCCACCCTGCCCCGGCCAGCACCGCCACCGCAAGCGCGGGCGATGGAACCAAAGCCCCGCTGTCACCCGCCCCGCTCTCTGCGAGTGACCCCAAACTCCACCCGCAAAGCATCGCAGCTTCGAATGCAGGCATGTTGCACATCTTGGTCCCAGATCCTGCACAATCTGGAGGAAGCATCGCAGCTATTTCAGTCACTGCACAGCTGCAAGGACTCTGCACAGCACATGTCAGCGGTGCTCCGTGATTACAGACCAGGCACCCTGGAGCGATATCTTCGCATCGCTTGGTTGCTTCTAATGTTTCTCACAAGCTCTGATGTCTTGTTTCATGAGGTATCGCTGCAGAACTTGCTTGATTTTTTAGCGGCGGCTGTATTCCGCCAGGTACACCTCAACCTCGTGCGGTAGGGGCTTCGAAGTGAGAGGTTGCTGTGTCCGCTAAAGTGGGGGGAAACCGCTCTTGCACGCTCTGTCTCGTTTCCCTTCAAACGCGCCTCGCTCCGCACTGACACTGCGTCAGCAACTTTCGCGGAAAAAGAAAGGTCGCCGTGCTTTCCCTTTTCTTTTTAACGGTTGCAGAAATCGTGAAAACCTAAAGAACGGTATTGTTTGACGTCACACAACGAGGGGCGATGCTGACTGACTCTGCAACTTTAATGTTGAGATCCCATTCAAAAAAACAACTTAAACCCGAAGACACCAAATTGTTGAAACATTGTAAATGTAAACAAAATTGGTTGCTACTTCTGTCTGTCTTGCCGCGGTGACATGTTTGAGTCTAGCTGAAAAATGATGGTTGTTGGTTGCTCAACTGCCCCGCCACCTTCGGAACCGTTGCCTGTCCAAAAATCAAAACACACATTCAAAGCATTACTGGATAAAACAAATCGATTCTGGCAGGCATTGCAGGAATCCGTTTTGGGGACGTTTCTGCAGATCAGGTCATGCTAATTTGCTGCAATTTGGGGATTGGGGTGCTTCAAGAAAGTTATGCCAAACACAGCCGAGTTTAGTTTCACTGCTTTACATACACCAACCATCAATAAACGGTAACATGCACAAATCAATGGCTCATGGAGCTGCGAGGCTGTCATGGGGGATTTGAGTAGCTGATGGATTAGAATAGCACTAGGCTGCAAGCACATTTGCATGGTTGGGCGGGAACATTCGAATTGGCGCATATCAATGAATGTCACGAAGTGAAGCCTACAGGTGCCCAATTTCGTTGTGCATTTTGCGGCATTTGGAACGTTGGGGCTTCGCCCTTTCGCCGTTCTTTCCTCGACCCGCTGTCACAGCCTTTCCTGAATGTTTGTGCGCCCTGTCTGGGATTCGGTCCGTTGCTTGGACACAGGCCGCGCAAAGTATTGAAACTGCTCGTGCGGAAGTGTCTGTATGCCGGCAGCTTCATTCAGATTTTGGGACGCATGTTTGTCGGCTCAAACTTTAGAAAATGCTTGTTTTTCGCACCCGCGATCCCTAGCCCGCCTGTTCTATGCCGGGGCCATGCAAGCCAACGAGCGGCCGCCAATTGGCAAGGGATGGCCGCCAATTGGCAAGGGCAAATGGCAACCGCCAATCGGCAAGGGATCCTTTGGCCTGTTTTTGTGATCTCCGGAGTCCTTTGCCTGGTTCGCGTCTGCTGAAGCATATGCGGTGATCACTGCCAGGCGCCATGCCCATGGGCGGTGGCAAGGGCAAGGGGCCACCACCGGGGCCGGGAAACTTCGGACCAGGGCCTGCAGGTGCGTCTGCTGCATGCGGTGAAGCGAGGAGGTGGAGATGTTACGTTATCCAGGCGTCATGCCGCCTCCACCGGTGCCTGCCAATCGAAAGACGCAGCTTTGTGCCGGAATCCCGGTTCTTGCAGCTGGTTGAGCGTTGAAGTTTGGAGATGGTGCAGCGTTCATGTATTGCTATGTCGTTGCCGGTTGTGTGTTTCTACTCATCAGGTCAATCTGGAGTTTGTTCATGTAAGGGACGAGATGTGTTGTTTTGATTAATTTAGCGACTGTGACACTCGGTGAAGAATGCTGTTGTCATTGTTGTTGCCATTCAGAGGTCTACTTCAAGGAAGGTCGCTGCACGCGTGGAACTGCTTGCAGTCGGGCTACCCGGAAATCAGTGCATCCTCCATCTGTCGCAATCGATAATCCAAGCATCGTTCGAATTTGCCAGATTACGCTCACGGCGAGCATGAGCTGGTGGAGAGGGGCGTGCCCAGCAACTGGCACGCATTATTTGTCGGCGGTTTGTAGTCTTCCTGATTTTTGGTTGGCTTCGGTCACTTTGGTTGGGTTGCTGAGAAGTTCACTGGAATGCTTATTGCTGCGAGGCAGACCGCCGCCGCCTCCACGAGAAGTGCGGCATCCAGTTGGGACCAGATTCGACGTGCTTGGCTCAGTGGCTTAGTGTCCAGCGCAGGTTGGCAAGACATCGCCATCCTGTAAACGTTCTTGGATCAGTACTGGGCATCAGACTTTAGGCCTGTAATGCCCTGTACCTGCAGATACCCGCATCTTCACTAACATAGAATGCAGCTGCAGTCGCTTACTCAGGTGAGATCTGGCCCACAGGCTGACTCAAACTGTCATGAGTCCACAGGATCAAGATGTGTGGAGAGCACAACTTAGTATGTGGCCTAAGACGCAGCGATTGAAATTTTCAGGGTGGTAATTGCCTGTGGTGGTGTTCAAGCGGTCAGGTCTTGCTGGAGTTTAAAGTCACGGTCGCACTGTGAATTTCGGTGGCTTTCCATCTTCACTTTGCAGCTCTTTGGCGGTTGCAGATGCATTGCGATAGTCCGGTCCGGAAGAATCCTAGTTCTCTTGGCTAGCGGCTAGCACGTGTCGAGCCTATGCTAACGTGATGGTCATGAAGGTCCATCGGCCGCCTCGAGACATGCGACCATCTTCTAGGTCGAGGCTGTGACCTTCGGCCGCCGGAACCAATCCCGGGATTTGGCCATTCACAGGTCGCAGAGACGGATCAGAAAAGTCGTCTTTGCCAAGTCTAAGCCTTACAGCAGATGCGGCTTCTCGATTGCCTAGCGACGAACAGGAGGTTTACAGATGATCGGGAACTCGAAACGAGGTCCGAAGCAGTGGGTGCTGTTGAGCGGTCGCATCCACAGCTGCGGCTTGTTTCGGCTAGCAAGATTCGGCCGCATTACTCAAGTTCTCATGTGCATGCAGCTCGCTCAGGCCAGACTGCTCACTCCGTTCAGCAACTGAGCAGGAACCTGTGCTCCCTGCGAGTTCAGCCTTCGGCATTCCAGTCTCCTTCGCCTGTGCTGTGCTTTTTGCCAGGCCGCCGATTTGCCCGAGCAGAATCTGGCGAACGGGCAGTCACCTGAGCCTCCAACCGACGTTGATGTGAGTCCTTGCTGTCCTGCCGTAGGTCTGCGCCAAAGGTTGCCGAGGAAGGTGAGGCGCAGGCTAGAGCCAATCGAACATGCTTGCGCTGTGCGGTCCTTTCGAGATTGCAAATCTAATTCGAACTTCATGGCCAATAAACTTTCTGGTGTTGAGGCTTGCTCAGAATTATTCGGAGAAAAGCGGTTCGTTTATGGCAAATACGCGTGCGACTTGGAGGAGAGCACTGCGCCCGAGAACGGGGAAAAACCCAAGGAAGCAGAGGCAGGTGTGATCAAGAAGGTGTCCTGTGTGTCGGCCTGTTTACGCCATGATTCTGCGAGGGTATAGATGTGGACGTTGACGCAGAAGCAGAGGCCAAGACTTTCTGGATGCATGGCTTCGTGCATGAGGAGTGGGATATTAGTCAGGGTTTCTTGAATATAAGTCCTGTGAAAGGCTGCAGAAAAGGAGCCACCGTCAGCTCGGCTTGTTAGACACAAGCTGGTGAGCCGGCTGAGGACTCTGGCAACCTGTTTGTTTCATTGTCTTGACAATGCCAGGAAGGGTGCTCCTGCCGCGGCGCCTGCTCCTGTTGTAGCATCTTTCCTTCTTAGCGAGGACGGCCTTTCATACTCTGCATTTGTTGGTGATTTCAGCGAGTCAACGAAGCCTATGAGGATGGTGCTGGGGAGCTCAGCCAGATGTATGGAAGGGGCCCAAGAGGGGAGCTTTGGTGCCCTAGTGCTATCTCTTCGAAGCAACGCCTGTTCGGGGCCCGGCCCGGCAAGGGCTTGGAGCGCAGCTGCTCCGGAGCGGCGGTCTCAGCCACACGGAGCGCGTCACCTTGCCAAGGGTACTCGTTGGAGTCTTCTTGTGATTTGTTTGCCTTAGGGAGAAATTCACTGACATCTCCGCTGGTTAACACAACAAACCTGTAGATGTGCACACGACTGCACAGGCATGTGTGCATCTGCATGTATGCATGCGTGCATGTCTTCACTGGACGGCGTTTCCTGGCAGTGTATTGCAGTGTTTCATAGGTTTGCAAGCCGCGTCTTTTAAAATTTTATTTGTTTGAGAGAGGAAGGGAAGCGGAGGAAACTCCAGTGACCCAGGCATGGGCTGGCGACCAGGAAGCGGTGTGGGAGCCAATCTGGACGGAGAGCCCGGGACTCAAAGCGGCCGCAACCTCGTGTGGCGCACGGTTGTCGGGCTCCAAGGGGCGGCCAGAAGTTCGGTTGGAAAGTTCAGGGGTTGTGTTGGTGTCTGTTGATGATGTCTTGGGGATGGAGTGCTATTAGCCGTCACAATAGAGTTTTGCATAGGTGCAGGGCTACCAGGAGTTCTACGATGAAATTTTTTGAAGGTAGATCATGTACAGGATTGTACATAAAGTCAAAAAGAATGCATGCACTACACGGTCAAGCAAACCAACCCTGAACTATGAGTCCACGCACCGCCTTTTGTGCGTGTCATACTTGCATGATGTTGAACCATGCACTCGATGACCCACAGCTGGATTCGTGCGCGTCAGCACCTGTGCTTAAGCGACCTTGGTACACTTCGGGTTTGTGCAGCTTGGACGAACAGTGTCCACGGCCAGATGAAAATTGCGATTGCACCCTGCGGCGCGGGCGAACGAGGCTTGAACCAGTCTCCATCCACATCCTGGGCTTGCCTTCCACTCACCTGGGGCGGAAGGCGGGGCTCTGGTACAGCAGCCTCCATGATTTTCCCAGCTTCCCAGGATCGGCGCTGTTTGGGCCGAAAGAAGCCTAGGCGCCTCCGGGACTCTGACGAGCGAGAGGCCAAGAGTTTTTGCTCGCAGTGACGTGGCCAGAGTCTTCCGTGAGACGTTGCCCTGTACGCAGCATAGTGAAGCACAGCTCGTGGTCGTGGTGGTCGTGGTCGTCGTGTTCGTCGTGGTGGTCGTCGTGTTCGTGGGGTCGTCGTCCTCGTCGTCGTCGTCGTCGTCGTCGGCGTGGTGTGCGCATTGACGTAGCTGTTGTTGCTGGTGTGCTGGCCGGCTCCAGGTCGAGTCCATCCAGGACGCCGTCAACATCGTCCAGTAGATCTACAAGCAAGCAGAGACCTGAAAACTTAAACCTCAGATCGACTGGGCATGTGGATACGCTGGAAGGTCATCGCAAAAGAGCTCGAGAAGTAGCAGCCCCTCGAGCCGGAAGAAGCGAAGAAGGACGAGCCAGCAAATCAAAGCAGATGTTGGTGTCTGGAAGTCTGGAAGTTGTCTTCTTGTTCTCTGACAGCGTATCCCCTCCTGGAGTCATCTGGAGTCCTGGAGTATCTTTCCGGCACCTTGCGGTGCTGCACACAGGGCAAGCGTGACCAGGCAGCTTTGTGGCCACAGGAGACGGAAAAAGCGAAAGAAGTCTCGCAGCAGCTCTAGCCGAAGGACCAGCCAGCCAGAATCGCTCTTCAACTTAGCTCGGACGGAACTACAGATAGTGTTGTGCCACAGGTCGTCTGCCTCCAGCAGCAGTTCTTCCAGCAAGAGCCATAGGCCGCTTGTTGTTTTGAGGTGTTGCACTGCTGCACACTGTTGTACATGCTGCACTTCGACATGCAGAGGAAAAAGAAAAAAGGCAAGTTCACAAACGAAGCGCATCATCCTCAGGATATGTTCCGTTCACTATGCCTGGGACTCGTCCCGACTTGTCCGATGCAGGCCTACTGACAACTCCGGTGGCGCAGCTGCTGGCGCTGCAGCTCAGCCCTCGGGAACCCGTACTGTGTCAATCGGTCGCAGAAAATCGAACGTCAGGCTGCAGCTACAGCCACGCCTCAGCAGGCGCGCTCCAGAAATTTTGCACCTCGATCCACGCCACAGCACTGCAGCAATTCACTCTGACTGCCTGCATGTGATGCTGAGGCGCAGGCAGTAGAAGATCCAGAGACGGCACAAGCCAAGAAGAGAGTCCGGGGGCACGGAAACAGGGGCACAGGGGCACCCGGTTTTGTCGCAAGTTTCTCCGGCCGGCCTCATCCATCCTAAGGTACTGGCGAAACTGACCGAGCTTCAAAAAGTTGAGCCAAAGGAGCAGAGAGCCAAGGCGGGCGACTCTTTACGGAGGTCTGGGAGCTGGTCCGCTCCGATGGGTTCTCAGGAGTTCCGACTTCTCTTACGCGATTGGCATCCGGATAAAAATCCTGAGAAGAAGGAGACCGGGCCACTGCATTTGGTCTCTGAGTTTGCCTTGTCAGATCGTTCGTGAAGGACATGGCCACAGCAGTGTTCCAGTTCCTCCAGAAGGGTAAGAGCTTGCTCAACCTGAAATGAGGAGGCCAGGTTCCAGAGGAGACTTAGCAACGTTTTTCGACATCCTGTCCTCCTGCCCAAGGCCTGCTGGGGATGCGCCGATGCAACACGGGAACCGTGATGCCGGAACTCCAAGCACACCTGCTACTTAGGCCCTCAGTCTAGGGAGCCGCTTAAACCTACTCTCGCTGACCTTTGTGACACACAGCCCCTGCACCCAACACGCACCCAACATGCACAAGCAAACTTACTAACAACTCGGTCGGACCTTCAGCCTCCACCATCATCCAACCGTACCAAGCCGTACCTAACCTGTGCTCGCAGCACTGCTGTAATCGTCGCTGCCACGCTTGTGGGTACATAGACTGCTGCGTGTGTCTCCTGCTGCGAGAATCAGAAAGGAAGCGCATGGAGCGATTCGCCGAGATTAGGAAATCGTGCCAGACCTGCTTGCCCCCTGCCTTGGTTTGCATACTGTGTGGCCGTTGCAAACGGCTCGGTCGTGCTGCTTCCCCAAGACTAATTTTAAAGGCATGTGGGGAGAGCTTCAGTCTAGCATCTGGTTCGACGGTAACTTGCTTATGGACTGATTGAGCATTTAAGTTAAACTGGTGGAAAGGCCGTCTCTGGTGCAAAGCCGCTAAGCAGTGGCACAGACACATTGCCGGAATCTTGAAGGAAAGGAGGTCTAAATCAGCACACGCCGTGCCTTCCCTTGTACATAGTAGCACGGACTCCTGAGCCGAGCATGGAGGCTCCTTACGTACAACTCGCATGTTTTGAAGATTTCCACAGGGGTTCTTCGGTGCAGCATCGATGACAGGATGCGAGGATACCGAAAGTCGTGCGCCTCCTTGGATGCAGTTGTTTGGTGAACAGCCAGCGAAGATAGTGACAGAGAGGCTCACTGAGAAGACCTGCAGTTGGTCTGGCGTCAAAGCTTGTTTCGTGTCAGGTTCAACCCAGAACGTTCCAGGCCTGCACAGCGAAAACTTCGTGCACCGCTTTGCCCAGGTTGCTGATATCACAGAGGGAATTCAAGATGAGATGCTGGCAGCTGTGTGCGGTACTTGGTTGGAAGCCCCTTCGACGTAGTGTCTGCGAGGGCGGCTCCATTTTGCGACCAGGTCCAGCCACATGCGCAACGCAGCTGCGGCCTGTGCAGAGATTTGCGTCGGCTTCCTGGCGCCACGTGCAATCCGCGCACACGCACTCACGGTCCCAGAGGTATGTTCGCAAGGATTGCACGGACTTGAGGGACTGAATGTCTGTCGAGCTGAGGCCGCACGCATGCGATTATTGCAGACAGCGCTTTCGCGCAGCTTAGATGAGGCACCCTGGCGCAAAGAACAGATCAGGTCCGTCTGCGCCTTGGAGTAATGGATGTCTCAGGCGCGCCGGCAGCAAGTCTTTGCACAGCCTCCGCCGAAAGCTCAGTCACGACGGTATGTGCACCCCTATAATGTTGCATCAGAGTTGTCTTTCTGCCAGCCAGACAGGCTGTCTACGAGCTTGGCTTCGTCACAGGCACACGGTGGGGCACGAAGAGCCCTATGGCAAAGAAGGGTTTTGCGGGGCGAGCGTGTCAATTTCCTGTTGCCTCACCGTGAAGTGCTAGGTCATACAGGTCCTACTTGCGGGTTCTAGAGCGTATCAGCAGCTGCCTGAAACAACTTGACTGAAATGCAGTTTCGTTTCAGTTGTCCAGGCTTTGTGTGACAATCTTCGGCAGCTTCCTTGTCTCAGTGTCCAGATACCGCGCGTGTGAACTGTTGTGCCCGAAGGACACGAAGCGAGTCTGGTGCCAAGACTCGAGATTCCTGCGTTGTCACTGAGGTGTTCCCAGGAAGTGGGCGCATGGAAGAAACACTGCATATCTCCATGGTAGGCTACATTGTTTCGAGGCAACGCTGGTGAGGCAAATCCGAGCCAAGCTTGACTCGCAGGCCGGGTTAAGTTGCCTTGCAACAAATGAGCAATGAGCGACGTTTTGTGTTCGAGGGTGACACGCCTGCAAGTTTCTTACGAGCTCGGTCGGTGGTCGCTGCCTGAGTAACTGGGAGCTTCGCTTGTCTCGCTGTGATTAGCTGACGAGGCAGCAAGCCAAGGGCTTCTCAACCGGGATGAGTTCGTGGCCTGCATTGCTTGTGCCTCAGGAAGAGCAGCGTCACTAGCCATGGTTCCTTGCATGTTTCGAGGCTTCGCTGAACCTTGGAGTGAGTCGCCAACTCAGAGGGCAATCTCAGTCGGGGACTATCAAACTTTGGACGTCGGAGGTCACACAGATGTCTTGGAGCTCTTTGCCTTTGCTGTCGGCAGCCGCGAACCCACCTCTTGTGCTGTCATTCTGAGCACTGCAGGTGGTATGCGAGGCTTCAGTTGTGGCATGGGAGATAATGATACAGTGTTGCCTGGAGAAGGCAACGAGAGGGACACTGCTGTGCTGGAGGAGATTACACAGGCACGAAAGTAGAGTCAGAGAGAAAACGGAGCGAGAGCAGAAACATGTCCTTTCGTTTGCTTCTAGCGAGACCTGTCCTTTGCAGGCGCTCGAAATGTCCAGCTCTGCTCCTGCAATAGCAAATGGCTGTTCCCATCACGGCCCTTGCCTCGCTCGAATGTATACCTTTGAAAGCCGCTGCACACACTGCCTTTTTTTTGGATTCGTGCTGAGGCTGCGCCAATGGTTATAGCAGCTCACCGCTGAGCCCTGAGGCCTTTCTCGGCATTGGATGCTTGTGACTGGCCGAGTCTTGCTTCTGATGGTTCTTGCAGGCCGAGCGAGTCGTTGGACGTGTTCGAAGTGCCGTCGGACGGTCCAACCGCCCGTTCGAGGAGGCCGGGCACGTCAAGAAGCCCTCTGAGGTAGATTTGCCACCAGGATCCCCGCGACATCTGAAGCTCTAGTGTAGCAAAGCGACTCCATCTCCTGATTGAATCGAACCACACGGTCCTTGAGAGCAGGTCTTTCGTGGATTCTGCAAGTCAGGCGGTCGAGGAGTTTGCTTCTCAGCGAAGGAGCAACGATCTCGCTTCGTGGAAATTCGTTGGGACGGTTCTGGTGTATGCGCCGGGCCGCTGGTGGTCGAAGCAGATCCGGTCCTGTGTGCTTTCAGGCTACAATCATGAGCCGGGCCGACCTCGCGCGAGTCCCGAACTCGGCCATTCCGGTGCTCCATGTGCAGGCGTTGGGAGCCGCTTTCTGAGGTGCTTTCCACCTTTGAACCCGACATTGATCCAGAGGCGCTGCGAGCAGCGCCTGCTGTTCTGTTCAGTTCACAGTGATTTTACAATGCACACAATCAGTTTGCACATCCCCCTCCATATTTCTCGGGCTTTCACAGGTAGTTGCGCGGCTCTGGCGCATCACCGTTCCAGACGGCGCAGTGTACTCAAGCTGCCATGTCATGTCTTTACAGAAGGAGCTACAACGTGTGGTGTGCATGGCGTTTGTGAGGCCCCCGGCCTGGACTTCGGCAACTTCTGCACTTGGTTCTGTCCCGGAGGGCGAGCGTTGGCACCCCTCCGCTCGCTTCGACTGCATACGGCAGCCTGCATTCATCGGTTTCTGCTGCGGCTGGATGCGGCTGGGATAGTTGTTGTGTGCAAGGAGTGTGTCGTCGTTGTTGCTTGCAAGTACACTTTACTGCCTCTGCTACCTGCGCCAGCCTGGCCTTACCTCTTTTGCTAGCAACATGGGGGAGTCGCAAATGCTGCCTGGTTCTCGGTTGCCTCGGCCGCAGCTCCGTGGCTGGTGTCGAAAAACCGAGGTCCCAACTGCTTGAGAAGAGCAGCGGGCTGCCTGAAGCCGAGCCAAAGTCAACACGTCCCAACCTTGACATTTTTGGATGCTGCGAGGTCAAGAACGCCCAGCGGGGGTTTGCTGTCTCCGATGTCCGCTTCGTTGCCAAACTTGCAGCTCGAGCCGCAGCCCTAGCTTTTGTGGCCTTTGCGCATGCAAGACGAACCACGAACAACGGATGTCTAGACTGCGCAGGGGACTGCCGCTGTCTCCGCAGTCCGCTTAGCTTTTAATTTAAGCTGCCGCAAAGACGAGAGCTCCACATCTCACAGCGGGCATTTGCAGGGGAGCTCGTCTGGCAAACACGCTGGCACCGGAGCAGCTGTCAGACTGGCGTCAGGCAGACTGAAAATTACAGAGACTGAGAAGAAGGGAACCTTTCCTGAGCTCGCAGGGAGGGCCCAGAAGCGCTTGGCCAACATGGCCAGCTTTGGAGGCAGGGGCATTTACTTTCGTGGGTTAGGTCCGTGTGATGGAGAAAGCGCTGACATTGCTTCAGGCCGCGCACGTCCAACCGCCACTTTCAGCTAGGTTGTCTCTGCCCGGCTCCCAAAATACTTCATGTCGCATTCCACTTGTGAAGTACCGGTCGTGGCAAGGTTATCACCGGAGGATTTTCCGGCCATTGCCTGCCCTGCGCTCTGAGATTCTCAGATACGACAAGCTTCGCTTCGTGGATCTGTGCTGCCACACTGCTATGCGTCTAGGCTCGGGTCGTTTGCAGACCTACATCGTCTCCAAGGGTCATTGACCTGGTTTGGTTGACTCTTATCATAGATGGTCGTAGATTCAAGCTTTTTCCGAACTCCAGTCTGCTTCTAGCTTTCAGGCCTCACTGTGAATTCTGCCTTCGTCCTGTACGATACGCATATGGAGCAGGCCAGAGGCTAGCGCACTGAGTGCCAGTCCGTTGAGTTCAGCCAGGCGGTCTCGCAGGAAGGCGACGGACTTGGTAGCATCAAGCCATCTGGGCCTCGGGGAAAACCCAAGTCCAAGGCTTTCTCTCCGCAGTTGATCACCATGGTTTCCCTCTGTCCAGATCCGAGGCATTGAGCTCTCATGTGCCACATTGCGCAGCACGAAGTTCAAGTTCTTGCACAGGCAGAGATGCTCTTCAGCCGCCTTGCCCGACGGACAAGGCCCAACCAGCCTCCGAGCCTCTCCTTCGAGGAGCCCAGCGAGGAAATGGGTTTTGGGCTGTTGTGCGTTGCTCCGGTGTTTTCGTTTAGCAGGACTTCCAAGCGTGCATGATGAGCCTGCCTAACCCCATCCCGCAGGCTCTGACTTCTGTTCGGGCTAGCACGTTGAAATCTGGGCTGTAGATTACACGAGTCAGGTGCAGTGGGCCCGATCCCTGGCCAGTTTCAACACTGGAAACCGTTTTGCAAGCTTGTGGCAGTGGCGCGTGAGGGGAAGGATTTGATCAAGTCTGTGGACAAGATCACACGCTCTCAAGGCCCGCCGAGGTGTTTCACAAGCTAGAGCAACAGTCTGTTCGGAGCCTGCCCGAGCAGTCGAGAGACACGAGGAGGACGGTAGGCTGCAGTGGCAACTGCAGGTCGTCACTCACTCGCTCCACTCCGCTCCCCCCCACACCACCCACTCCACTCCACTCCAGTCCACTCCACTCCACTCCACTC